TCTGAGTATTAATGAGAGATGAAGACAGAAGAGACAGTCAGAAATAATATAATAATAATAATAATAATAATAATAATAATAATGATAATAATAATAGTAATGATAATAATGATGATAATAATAATAATAATAATAATGAAAGAGAGAGTGTATTGAAATATATTACTGACTTATCAAATATAAAGAAACTTAAAGAAAATATTAACAGCTTTCAGTAATATATAGAAACAGCTACAGTATTATATAGCAATATCATCTTTATTTAATATATATACTATTGATATTCTTTGTATACAGTTATTATATAATCTGTATCAGAGATATATAGAGAAAACAGATCTTTATTACTAGAATAAATAATTGCAGCAATTCTCTGTTTTTATATTATAAAGATAAGTTATTCTTATTTCTTTCTTCTCTCTTTTCTCTTCTTCAATCAATCACTAATTTCAAGCTGATATGAAAACTATTAAAACACTCTTAAAAACTCTTAAATTAAAGAGTATAGACTAATTAAATTTTAAATACAGAAGAAATTAAATTATCTTCTACAGATTCAATTACTCACTTTCTCTTAAATAAAACAGCAGTCATATTTCTTCTCTCTCTCAATTAAATGAAATATGACCTGTGAAAAGCAAGTATCATATCAGATTATAATGACTAACACAGTCTCAGTACACAGAGCTGTATATACACAGTGTGTACTGAACTGAGAGACTGTATAAGTTGTAAACTGATAGCAGCATCTCAGAGAGAGCTGTATAGTATAAGAAAGCTATAACTCTCAGTTATATATATAGAAAGTAAATCACTGTAGTAAGTATATATATATTGAAGTAATACTTTTTAATAATACTCAGTCTCTGATATAATGAAAATAGAGTCTCTTCATAAGATCTGTTTTTATCAGAAGTCAGAGAATTTTATATTTCTCAAGATTATCTTTACACATCTTATCTGTGAAATTAATAAAGAGAATCATTGATTTCAGTATTCTATTCTTAATATTATTTAAGTAATAGCAGAGTTCACTCTGATCATACTTTTTAAGTGTATATTTTCTAATTATTCACATTTATATAGATATATACTGATTATTTATTAGATAATATTAAGATAATAACTTATTACAGCTATATTAGTCTCACTGTAAGAGATATACAGTTGATAATAAATATTATAAAGACTCTGAGAAGTGAGTATTTTAAGAGTACTACAGCTCTGCAATCTTGATTTTTTTTTATTTTTATTTTTTATTTTTTTCTTTTTCTTTTATTTTTTTTCTTTCTCTTCTCTTTTTCTTTCTCTTTTTTGTTTTTTTTTATTGTGATTTTTTCTTGTTGTTTTATTTGTGATTCAAAGGTTGCTTGCCAGTGTATGATTACAGGCATACGCCTGCTTCTTATATATTGTAATATTGTATGCTAAATTAATTAGTGGCTGCTATGACTCTCTTTACACTCATAAGCAAGTTCAGAAGCGGCTGTATTATTATTTAACAGTCATACATTCTTTCAAACCACATTCTCTCTCACTAGATTCAGTCACGCTTACATGACCATAATGTCTGTCCTAGCTTTATGCAGATTAGTGTGTCACTAGTGTTCATGATCTTGTGATCTATCTCTGATTCAGCTAGTATCTTACATACACTCTTACAAAGAAACTTTCACTATATTATATCTCTTATTTACTAACTTTTCTCATTCTTCAATCATCTTCTTCATCATCATCATCATTGAATACTATCATTATTCAAGATTTCTATTCCTTCTTCTGTTTAACTCTTTCTATCTATCTATCTATCACATTGTATATGTTTCTGACAATGACTTTCTGTTCTCATAACAAGTATTATTGTAGTACTTATATCAGACAGTTCATTAGCAGTAAGTATAATACATTGTGAAATATGATCAGAACTTGTTTATCTTCTAACAATTGTCAGAATGTACTATTATGAATAATACATCTTCTTTATCTTCTTATATACTCTCAACTGTTTTCTTCTCAGCAGGTTTCTAATTATGTTTTCTGACATAATTTTCTATAAATACAGATGCTGATATGTTTATTTTTATTCATATAGAATCTTCATGCATTGATAGATCTGCATTCACTGATAATAGTGAACTCAATGTTGAATCATTGATCAAGAACTTGAAGAACATGATAATGAAGAAATTACTTATATTATGTGTAATCAGATCTTCTATGTCTCTTTCTGTCTCTTCTATTACTTCTTTTCCTGCTGCTCTCTCTCTATCTTCTATACTTATCTCTATGTCTGATTCTCTCACTTCTGCTACTTCTGTTCTCATAACTCTCACTTCTGCTACTTCTGATTTCACTGTCTCTGCTTTCATTATCAGCTCTTCTCATTTCAAGAAGATATTATATAGACTTAATAAATTACATTTCTCAGTGTGTACACTCTCACTCTTCTTACTGACTGTCAGAATAATTTATTATATGAAGACTGTATATAATATAACTATCTGAAGCTTGATCATGAACACTGATTATTATATTCATTTTAAATATTCATGATAAAGTAATTATTTATTTATATTAGAGAATCACTCTCTCTCTCAACAGTGTTAAGATTGTAAGTCTTTTTCTTTTTCATCTTTTCTTTCTAACACTGATTTTTCTGTTCTTAGAAGAAATCATTATAGGTTTTACTATGTATGAAGTCATGATATTCACAGATATCAAGAAGCTTTTTACAACTGTAAAGTTTAATATTATGAGAATATTCACTCTGATAAATTTCTTCAGAATGATAAATCTGTATCAGTCTATTCTCTAGCATCTGTCATCTGACTTTGTAATACAGGCAAAAGATATTCATGTTTTCAGAAACAGAAATGTAGATGTTGTACTCTTTTACACTTACAGGCATGAGGCTTGTATATCTTGTCTGAAATATTATCATAAGAATGAGCTGTTCACACACTGTATTCTGCTTTCTGCATTTTCTTATATCTCTCTCTCTCTTTCTGAGAAGTCTCATGTGTGTTGTAATTATATATACAACTCTAAGATCAGCAGATGTTCATTTGATAACTGTTCTCATCTCTGATTTTGCAATTTTTATACACTAATAATGATTCTTAGTTACTTCAGCATCAGAGATTATTCTAATCAAAGATGATAACACTGCTGAGACTACTCTCTTCTACTCTTAAGCTTCTTCTATTGCTTTCTCTCTCTTCTCTGTGAAGAAGATTATATACATATCAGATCATAAGCATTCAGTCTCAGATGACTCTCACTGTTATTTATTCAGTTCTATGTTTTCTTCTTCTTCTATTTCTTTCATCTCTGCTCTCTCTGCTCTGACTTCTGATTCTGCAGATCTCATACTCTTCTTCAATTTCTCTACACATATGCATGTGCATTTCTACATTGGCATTTCAGTCAATCTTGTAATAAATGACATTAATGTGTATGCAGAGCAGTGAGAAATTGAAGATATATACAGTATTATTATAAGAGCAGCTTGCAGTTCTTAAATTCTTACAGATCTAAAGTTTTGAGATTTTCTTTATTTTTGACATTTTTCAGATGATATGATGTTGAAAATAGATTAAATATATGATGTATGAAAATGAATAAGATGTGTATAATAACATTTGTCTTTTATAGTCAACTCTTACAGTTGATAATTAATTCATTATCTTTTTTCTTTTCTTACACTTTTTCTTTATCTGCTAGTCACTACTCTTATATGATCTCTATATAATACAGTATTCAGTGACTAGGTTCAGTAGCTTTTATCTTTTGTGATTCTATCTCATGTATTATACTATCTCTCTTTACCTGCTTAGATTACTACAGTGAACAGCTTATTAAAACTAATCTCATCTGATCTCTGAGCATTCTCAGAGATTGAGATGACTTGATCTCATATATCTGCAGATGTTTCAGATAGTTCATTCTCTGTGATCTCTGTGATTGAACTGATGTAAACAGTCAAATTCAACTCTGAATCTCTTTTTCTTCTATAATCTGACTCATATATAAGTCTGTTACTTTGAGACTGCTCTTTGCTATATTATGTCTGCTATCTGCAGCATATTATTATACAATCAGCTACAGTCTCATCACTTATTGAAGTATGATATTCATCTGATTTCTTCATTTCTTCTCATTCTTTTCTTATAATTATGGAAAGATTGAAATAAGTGAGATCATCTGATTCATAAGCATCTATGATTTCTCTTACTTCATGAGAATTTTCAATTATAAGTCTCTTCTTTTTTAACACTGATAATAGTGCTGTAGATGATTATAATTCACTCAGATCTTGTATCTTTGCTTTCACAAGTTATGAATTATTTATTAAGTTGTATAAGATCTGTTCCTCTGGTTCTTTCAATGCATATATTCTCAGAGAATGTGATTTGAGTATTTTATATAACTCAAACCATCTAGGTTGAAACTTCTCAGAACTCTTATTATGTACAAGAACTTATATTCTTATCTTGAGACTCAATTTCTTAACTAGTGAGTCTCATATTCTTTTCAATTGAATTGCTCAGTTCAGAAGTAACTTATTAGCTTTTACATGTATATGTAAGAATAAGTGCTCGCAGGCAATTATTCGGGTGTTTGCAGCTTGGCGTGATATGTACTGTTAACTACTAGAAGTATTTGTGATAGGAAGATAAAATGTAGAGGTTAAATGTATAATAGCATTCAAGCTGAGTTATAAATAGTATTCACAAACTCCAGTCTATATAGTTGTGTATAATCAAGAGCTGCTAGCTCTATTAGTTACATGAGAGATAGAAATAGAGATAAAGAATCTGTGAGAAGTGAAATTTCTTACATATTCTCCCCTCTCTAAGACTTCATCTGTGAAGCCTTTTACTGAGTGACTTCATAGAATCAGCTCAGCACTGTAATAATACTCACTAAAAATTCTTCACATCTATAAAAAACCTCAGTGAGGAAAAATCCCTTATTATCATGAAAAGAAAAGAGTCTGTCACTCAGTTTCTTATTCTGTGAGATTCTTTATAGTCTACAGATTCTTCTCTAACTATTACACAGATTTATCTTATATCTTTCATACAGAAGAGTTTCAGTTAACTCTCAATTATTTTCATAAGATTCTTATATAATCATCACACAGATTCATCTCACAGATGAATCACTCTCTGTGAGATCACTCTTATCAAAGAGAAGTATTCATAAGTTAATCTTTCACTTATTCTTATAAATCATTGTTCTTTAATACTGTAGAATTGTGAGGAATTTTTCATTCTTTCATCAAGTCTGTAGAATTGTAGAATCAAGATATCTACAGTCTGTAATAACTCTTTGTAGTCATATAGAAAGATTCAGATCTGTAATTCATAATCACTTTTATTTACTAGAGTAATCTGACTGTTCTGCAGAATCACTCACAGTGTAAGTAAATCTCTCTAAAGTAGTATAAATATCTCAGATCTGTTTATAAAATCTCATCTTCTTTTCTCTTTTTCTATAACAGCTCTTATTCTTATAAACTGTGAGTATTCTCATTCATCTGCAAAGTGTTTTCACTCAGATGATAGAGAGAGAGTGTTTCTGACAATATCTGTATATTAATTCAAGAACTTCTCAAGAATAAAAAAATTTTTCAATTTTAATATCTTCATAAATAATGTCTGACTGCTGTTAAGCTTCTCATGAGTGTTCTCACAACTTCTCTGATCACTTTTTACTGGCTGATGAAGCAGAGACACTGCTGCTTATAACTGTATCTTCACTCTTCTCAGTCTCATCACTGCATCTGATCTTCAGGTCAGTAGCTCATCTCATGCCTTTCTCAGACCAGTTTCTGGCTTCAAGCAGCACAGTTCTTCTCTTTACTGTAAGTCTTCTTATAAGTAATTTCTTACAGACTCTAGCTGACAGTTCTTATAAAGCTCTCAGTATTGTCAGTGTCTTCTGCAGCTCTGCAGACCTACAATCACTTCTTCCCTGTCTGCACAATCTCTGACCAGACATATATAAATATGCCTAGATTTCTCATCAATGATTCTCACACTGTGGCGCATTTCTGCAATCTCATTATCAATAAGAGATGAGTTCTCAGGTACTCGCAAAATCTAGGTAATTAAGGCAATACAAATGCTATGAATTTGTAACAGAAGTTAATCTGAACAGATGAGCTCTCTCTCTGTATCTCAATTATTTTCAGGCTGAATACTTCAGCACAACTGAGAGAGTGAACACAGCTTTGTAAGAGATATCTGATCACATATGCAGATAATCAGCTCTCAAGATTCTGCTGCAACTGTATGTACTCTGATATCTGACTCTTCTGAAGTCTGTGCATTTCTGATAATCTTCACATTAAATGCAACAATTATCTGTATCACAGATATAATACTCTCTACTTCTTTGAAGAGAGAAATTGATAGTTGTAAGAGAATTGAGTATCACAGATATTAAGAGTGTGAATATGAGTTTTCTTTATTTTTTCTTTATTAGTCTCTAAATTGTGTTTACAGTTCTGTTTATTTTCTGTTTTTTAGCTTTAATAAGAATATGATTTCTTCTTTTCTTACATACATCACAGACTGTTCATCTCAGTAGAAACTCATTATCTTATAGACTAGAGTTTATAAATGACAGTGTTAATATCTTTATTATAATCAGATTCTTAGTAAGACTGTGTCATTCTGACTTGTAGAATTTATAGTATGAAAATCA